GGGGAGTGGGGGACGACGAACGTTTGCATGTCTGTCGCGCGAGTCATATAGCAATGTATGTGCATGCAAATATGCACGCAAGTGTGAGTATATGCGATAGTATTGGTGCGTGCACATGCATCAATCGCGCAGCATGGTAAGGGAGAGCGCGCGAACGTACAAACGTACGATTGTATGCGGCGTGAGACACGTTCGCCGTTGAACACCTAGTTAGCGCGTCGCGCTAGAGTACGTGCGCGTGTCCTTTCATGATTCCACACATGGTGACGTGTCTCCTATGCCCTTGCCTATATATGCCAGACGGCGGTGGCGACGGCGTCGGCGGTGGCGGTGGTAGCGGCAGCGGCGGTGGCGGCGGCAACGAGCGTAGCGGCGTTAGTACCGTTTAGACTGGCGCGGCTAGACTCGCGCTAGACGAGGATAATGCCAGACGTTAGAGAGTGCCTGGCACATGACGTAATCCGTCGCTCTCTGTGTGCCGCGAGAGGCGCTCGATCCTCGTTTGTCGTCCGTCGCTCGGGGCCGTGCCACGGCCGTGCCACGGTCGCCGTCGCGCCGTGCCGCGCCGCGCCGCACCGCACCGCGTGTACGCGTTCAATTCTACGCGTTCACTCTCGTTTTCCACCGTACCACGCCTCGTCTGGCGCGGTGCTCTCTCGCCGCGTGGGAGTAGTCGTTTTTCTCCCTTCCTTTTTTTTTTACATACACGATTTCGTCACGTTACCGCGGCGCGCGAGCTACTTTTTTTTTCACGTTCACCAACCACAAACGATTACATATTATTTTTGTTTTAGGGCATAGGATTTTAACACCTGTGAGAATATTTCGGAGCATGTGTTTTTTACGAGAGATATATTTTTATTGTCAGCCACGCTCCCTCTCTCTCTCTCTCTCTCTCTCTCTCTCTCTCTCTCTCTTTCTAATCTCTGAACAATGTGAACGTTAGGAATCTTTTATTGGACGAGTTATTACACACACGGTGTAATATATTTCGCTCGCACCTGTGATCGCGAAAGCGCTTTTCGGCAGTGCCCGCGCTTGACGAGCAGCGCGTTTGTGGCCTGTGCGTTTCCTATTTTTACGAGCGACACAGGTTTGTTGCACAGCCGCGCGGCAAGTTGAAAACACCGGCGGACCTAGGTATAAATAGATCTCGCGAGTACCGCATGTCGAGGAAAGAGAAAGAAATAGCGGGAGAGAACGGGATATGCCGGCTGATGCAGAAGGGAGGGGACGTAGCGTCTGGTGAAAAATAAGAAGCGCCTCGATGACGATGCGTGCGTTCTTGAAAAATTTAGCCACCGCGTGCATTCGCTACGTATGCGCTTCGTATACGCGCGTGACGAGACGCGCGCAAACGTATGACAATAAAATTTTCTGCACACTACGTGCGACTCTCTCGAGGACAGCTTCGAACAAAGCTGCAGTCGCGCGCTGCGTAATCTCTTTTATTAGCGACGTTCCTTCGTTACTTGGATCGCAGAAACGATCACCCGCGCATTTGTCTCTCTCTTTGCCCCTATCTTACACTATCTATTTAGTTTTCGCGCGATTAGGTTAGGTTGGATTAGCTTAGCTCAGCTTATCAAAATGATTTGAATATCGTTTTATAAAGTACAACTGCGTACTCGTACAAATCATCGTTCAGTTTGAATTTATAGCGCGATCGATTCAGCGCGACATTGGCTATCTGAATTTTCTTGGAAGCACCTGCGAGAGAAAAGGGGTGTATCCGATAACGGTGCGTTCTCCTTGAACCATAACGGACGCTGAATCTCACCCGTTACTCCCGTTCTTCCTTGCTCCTACGTTCGTTCGATTCTCCGTACTCGGTGGTACTCGGTGAAGCCGGATCAACACTGTGAAATGGCTGACTCAATTCTCTCTCTCTCTCTCTCTCTCTCTCTCTCTCTCTCTCTCTCTCTCTCTGACCGAGATCTACGCAAATAGAAATTGTTGACCATGATATCAAGCTGTTGCGAACATATCATACCTATCGCATTATCCACGCGGTTTACTCGATATTCTAGTTATCGCGCACCATATCTCGCAGAATTGTCAACACTACCAGCGGCAGCGGAGAGCGTCTTATCTCGCGCGCATATAAACGCGATGAATTTGAACAAACAGGTGAAGGTACCAAATGAAGATGACAGGATAGACGGATAGAAGAATCGTGCGATTCTCAAGGCTTTGTAACGTTCAACGCAAACTAATTTTATCGGGCGTTCTAGCGCGATGTATTCTAGGAACACGCACGTAGTTTGTACGTGCAAATATGCGTACGCGTAATACGAATCGGTCGATTAGATTGTACGCCTAGTAACTAGATTACGTCTCGCGCGGCGGCCGCGTTATCTGCGAAATTAGACCCGACGGGCGAACGCGCTATTTAGGCGCTCGCACGGACAAACGCGTCTCGGTTGGGAAATGGTCGTTCCAGCGATTCAGCTGACGCGACAGTAACGAGGCTCACGATATTTCGATACTCGATTCGTTTGTACTCGCGACTATAACTGCGCGACGTTTCGTACAAAGACGTTAGCGTCTTTGCTCTTTCACTTTCTCACTCGTTTCTTATATTTTTTCATATTACACTAGCAACATGTGTACGTGTGTTGCGCTCGAGAAAGTTATACATTTGCGAACACTCGCGCGAATACTCTGCGGCAGATTATCACGGTCGATATATATATATATATATATATATATATATATATATATATATATATATATATATATATATATATATATATATATATATATATATATATATATATATATATATATATATATATATATATATATATATATATATATATATATATATATATATATATATATATATATATATATATATATATATATATATATATATATATATATATATATATATATATATATATATATATATATATATATATATATATATATATATATATATATATATATATATATATGTGCCGCACGTAACCTTGTTAAATTTAAACATTCCTAAAGACACACAAGACGTTGCGTTCTCCGCGCTTCGCTCTCGGTGCGGTCGGTAGCGATCGATAGTGATCGGTGCGAGAGCTTGCACTCGCGTGCACGCGAGCGAGCGAGTTCGATAAAATTAACAAAGCGAATTCATTCACCGACCCGGCTAGTGCGCGAGTCAATCGAATAAATTCTCGCGCGCATCGATACAAGACGCGATTGAATTGCATATACCGCGCGTAAATTCAGGTGCTCGACGACTATGTGCCACGGCGCGTTTTACATGTCGCGCGTTAAAATTCGCCTCTCGGCTACGTGCGACGCACTGCACCTCCAAGAGGAAAAAGACCGCGCGGGTGATCGCGCAATTTTTTTCTCTCGCGGAAGCAAAAGAGACGCGTCGGTAAACCCATCGATATTCTTTTTCTCTCTCTATGTCGATTTTCTTCACTTCGGCAACGTATTTTCATCAACATCCAGATGTGATCAACTTTGATAACAATAACGAAAGGATGTTTTCTAGTTATCTCGCACGATAGTCTGAAACGACGATTAGCATCTTTTTCCTTTAACGCGATTTACGAGATCACGTGTCGACCGTTATCAAAGAGCGTGACGAAATTTCGCTCAATGCTTCACGGGCAAAAAATTTTGACTCCATTTTGCACTTAAATGAACGCTTTTGGCGCGTAGATTACAAATATGTAAGTGCGAAGATGGACGGAGCTACCGTTCCAGAGAAAATGGCCCATCTAAAATTCCATCCTCACTAGATGGCGCCTAGTGACGATGGAATTTTAAATGGGCCATTTTCTCTCCGGAGAACGATAGCTCTTCGTACACTTAGCCACTTGTACATATTCGTAATTAGCGCGTCAAAAGCTTCATTTTAACTGGAAGATGCATCCATAATTTTTGTTCGGAACAAATAGGCATCTTGACCGCACTCTTTGGAAGAAGGAAATTGTTGTCGTTCTCTAATCGCAACTTACTTTCGCGAAATCAGTCCAAGAGAGACAACGTCATTGCGAGTTATCTCGCGCGGACAGAGATTAGCATCTCTATTACTTCCTTTATTCGGAAAGTCGCGTGGCGTCGCGTGACGTCGCGCCCGCAGCGTTTGTGTGAGGCGCAGGAAGGTCAAAGTGTGGACACAATGCGACGTGAAGGAGCGTCGCTTTATTTCGGCCACTCGAAATGTACGCGTCAGCTGATCGTGACGAATCATATCCGAGAATCGATCAAGTAGTTACCGCGACGAGAGTATACGGCCACGGGTATTTATGCGAACGGCCACGCGGTTCCTTCCTTCGGACGGTTCTTTGTTTCGTGCGCATTATACGCGCATGTGCACATGCGCACGCCCACATCCGCGCGCTCGCGAGCGCCAACGAAAAAATGCGGACGCGCGTGTGTGTGCGTGCGTGCGTGCGTACGTACGTGCGTTCGTATCGCGT